CCTAACATCTCCTGGCAGCTGTCTTTTGGCTGCATATGCTGAATTTATTTTGTAAATCTTGTCAATTTCTTTAGAGAAGTCTACTTTCTCATCATTAAAACATTTAATCATTTCTGTTACAATTACATCACTTAAATTATGAATTTGTTCAGATATTCCCATGAGATGCAGAAAAATTTCCTTCTGTTTCAGATCCAGTAAAAATAAATGTTGGTTAAGAAGATCTAATCTTGTGTATGTCTCATCCAATCTAATCTGTATATTTTAAACATCTTCTTTAGTTTGTTTTAGCTCTGATACTAATGATTCAAATTTTTATCAGATTTTTTATTCATCTCTTTTATTGTGTTATAAAAAACCTTTTCTCAAATATTTCCAAAACAAATTTGGTGCTGGGCTTGTCCAAATCATGTTTTAATACTTTCAATTCCTTCTTAGGCGTTTTTGCCAATATTCTCTCATACAGCCTGTCAGGGCAGTGATTTAAGAGCTGATCAGCTGCTACAATGATGCAATGATGTAATCATGGGAATGAGTCAGCAAGGCTTTTGGCTGTTATCCCTTTAAAAACCTGTATAATAAGAAGAGGCCCTGTTAGGGCATCTTTATCTCACCATATGTTGTTTCCTGCTGTAATTGCTGATTGTTTGACCTCTGCCTATAGTACATGTATGTATAATATATATTCTTTTGTAGATAAAACCACTATTTATTACAAACCTCTGTTTGCTATTATTGCTCCTGTGTTATGTCACATATTAAAACTGTGCACACTCTGACACAGCCAGTTGCTTGCAGCAGAAAAGCAGGCAAGAATACACTGTTTTCTTTTCAAAGTCAGATAAGTTCCAAAACTAAGCAACTGGCAGATCAAATAGTGTTGATATGCAAATAAATAGAGAAAAAAAAAGAGGTTTCTAAACTTTTAACATACTGTTGAAAGTCGAGAATTATATGTAGAGTACGGAAGAAATAGAATAAAGATGTAAAGTCTTTTCAAGTTGATAACATATATAATCTTTTTGGAAGAAGTTCAATATTATTAAATCAGTAGTTCATTTTTTCAGTAATCTAAACCCCCCCCCTTGTTGCCATTTGTCTTTTCCATATGGAATGAGTAATTATTTCAAGACATTCCTCCAATGTTATTAAATCAATTAAAGTCCACAAAGAGGGAAGGTATCTAAATTCGATCACACAGCCAGCAATTAACATGCAAAAAGGAAAAAGGAAAAAAAAAACATTGCAAAGTGTGAAGTTAAAATAGAGGCATCTTTGAAGATGACTGGGTGGACATGATATAAATCTTCTTCTTTGGCAAACTTACTAGGGAGAAGAAATTTGCTGAATATTCACCCCGCCAGCCAAGGAATGTCATCCAAGGAGCTTCAGGGCAATTCCATACTACTCCTTTTCTAATCCAGCACTGAAGTAGTTACAGAGACCTGCTCTGTAGCTATCAAACCATACATTGTCTAGCAGAACAAAGAAATGAGCTGCTAGTTCAGAGCACCATACTGGGTGAAGTTCAGGGAATGTAGAATATTTTAAGTAAACAGTGTTTTCATGGTAAATGTGTACCCACTCCCATTGATGAAAGACATACTGGCCCACTTGGCAAAAGAGAAAATCTTTCCCAAGCTAGATCTGCGAGAGGCAAATTACCAAGTGAGAATTAAAGAGAGGGACGAGTGGAAAACAGCATTGAACTGCCCATTAGGAAGCTTTCAGTTCAAAGTGATGTTTTTTGACCTCCAAGGAGCACTGTGGTGTTCATACAATTGATGAATGAAGTGCTGCATGAGCACCTATACAAAGGGGTCCTTGTATACTTTGATGACATCCTCATCTTTACCAAGAAAATGGAGGAGCATGTTAAATTGGTTTGCCAAGTACTCAAAAGATGTCTAGCAGAAAACCTCTATCCCAAACTATCCAAATGTGAATTCCATAAGACCAGCCTTGACTGTCTGGGGTACTAAGTATCCAGTGTTGGGGTCAAAATGGACCCAGGAAAAGAAAACTCCAAAGCTTCCTTGCAAATGTCTATCAGCAATTGATTCCCTCCTTTGCAGAATTTGCCCTCCCAATCTCCAAACTACTAAAAACTGGAGGGGGGAAGTGAAACCATGACCAAGTCAACCTTTGAAATGGACGCTGAAATTCCAAGAAGCCTTCAAAATGCTCAAAACGCTCTTTGCTAAAGAACCAGTCCTTAAAACCCTGACCCAGAGATGCCTTTTATCATCCAGGCAGATGCCAGCTATATGGCAGTGGCCACAGTTCTCCTTCAGAGAAACTGGAGGAGAACCTGCAACCATGTGCATACACCTCCTGAAAGCTTACTAAGCCCAAAAAGGGGTTGGCAATGTGGAAGAAGGAAGCCTATGCAGTCTGCTGGGCTCTGCTAATGTGGTGCCACTTCCTTGAAGGAAGCAAAGTGCCTTTTGAAATATGAACAAATCATAAAAATCTGGAGGCTCTTAGGACCCCATGGAAACTTTCTCCCAAGCAGGTTCGGTGGGCGCAATACTTCAACCATTTTAATTTCACCTTGAAGTACATCCAAGGGGAGAAAAACCTTTTAGCAGATGCTCTGTCATGAATGCCACAATACAAGTTTTAGGAGGTGATCCATGCCATGATTCCTCCTTCCCAGAGAGTGACACAAGCCATGACCAGGCAGCAAGTGCGAAAGCGATGAGCTGCGAGGGGGCGGGGGTTCTAATTCAGAACCTCAAAACTGAACTGCTTTTCCACCTTTGGTACAGGGACAACAAGAAGCTACTAACCTCCAGGGATTGACTAGCCTGGAAGGGCTCTAAACTATATGTCCCCAGTACCCTTCGACTTCAAGCGGAGCCATGACACAAAACAAGCAGGACACTTTGGGTTTCTAAAAACTCTAGAGACAATTTTGGTGGCCGAGAATGAAGAAAGACATTGATAACTATGTCAAAAGTTGTGCAGTTGGTGCCACTATGAAAAAAAAGACCAGGAAAACCTCCTGGATTCCTCAACAAGTAGTCGGCCCATCCCATCCATGGGAAGAAATTTCCATGGATTTCATAGTGGAGCTTCCAGAAAGTGGGGGAAACACTGTCATTTGGACACTGATTGACCTCTTCTCTAAGTAAGCCCATTTCATAGCCTGCCCTGGTCTCCCATCATCCCATAAACTAGCCAAGTTATTCTTAAAGCTCATTTACAGGCTGCATGGGGTTCCTAGGAGGATCATCTCAGATCAAGGGGTTCAATTTACAGCCAAGTTCTGGAAGGAATTTATTAGGTGAGTTGGGTCCTCCCAGGGGCTTAGCTTTTCATGCGAGTACCAATGGGGTGGCAGAATGAGCTAACGCAATGATAGAAAAATACATGAGGTGCTACATCAACTACCAACAAGGATTTGCTGCCCTTCGCTGAGGTAATATACAATAATGCTGTACATACATAGTAGTACCAGGCTCATCCCATTAAAAATAGCTACATGGATGGGAGCTTGTCCCCATGCCTGAGTTCCCTTGGGAGCCACCCTCCTCAGTGACCTTAACCAAATGAGTGAATTCACTGAGGAAACCATGGGAAAATATAAAATGGGCTCTCAATGAGGCTGCCAAAATCCAGAAAGTCCAAGCTGATAAGCATCAATCCCCCAACCACCATTCCAAATTGGGGACAAGGTTTACTTCTCCACCAAGTATTTGAAGTTAAAACTGCCCTGCAAGAAGCTAGGACCAAAATTCCTAGGGCCTTTCCCTATCGTGAAAATCATTAACTCTGTTATAGTGGAGCTAAAACTCCCCCATCTAATAGGGAAAGTGCCTCTGGTTTTTCATAACAGTCTGTTAAGACCAGTAATAGAGTATCAGCTGAAGCTATAGCCCGGGTAGCCCCAAGACCAATCATAGTGCAGGGAGAAACTCATTACAAAGTAAAAAGGATTCTAGACTCTTGGATTATATAACAAAAAGTTAGTATCTAATGCAGTGGAAGGGGTATCTGCTTTCAGAAGCCACCTGGGTAAAAAGTAAGGATGTGAAAGCAGATCAGTTAACTAAAACGTTTCATGACAAATACCCTCGGAAGCCAAAAGAACCCCTTAGGGAGGAAAGGGGTGGTTGAAGGAGAACTAATCTGTTTTATGCTTGCATTTTCCAGAAATTTCTCATGCTTTAAGGAGGAAGGTCTGACTGTCAACTCTGAATCAAACTTGCCATGTACACTGGGAGGATAAGGGGGCAGGGGGAGTAAATAGACTGTCTCATAGACATAACAAAGAGTCTTCCCATGGGAATCAAGATCATCCCAACAAGTAGCAGTTGAAGGAGGAAAGGAGTGACCAAGGAGCCCGTCAACTGCTTTAATTGGATAATGTGACTTGGGAGTTTGGGGAGGGAAACAGCTACTCTTTTAATTATGCTATAACCGCAGGAAACTTCAGAGTTGGTTTTCACTAGCCGTGCCAATATGATGTATCCAATAAACATGTTCTTCCTGCCTCAGAGTTCTGATTTCTTTGGATGCGTTACTCTGAACACTGACAGGATGAGGAACAGGGTGTTGTTGCCATTACCACAACATGAGATGAAACCCATGACTTGCCTAATAAAGAGGACTGGGGTGGCATTACAGTAATCTTCCAATATTTGAGATGCAGTCACAGAGAAGAGGGCATCAACCTATTCTCCAAAGCACTTCAAGGAATGAGAAGAAGTAACAGGTAGAAGATTATTAAAGAGAGATCCAACCTAGAACTAAGAAGAAATTTCATGGCAGTGAGAACAATTAATAAGTGAAAATGCTTGCCTCCAGAAATTGTGGATGCTCTATCAATGGTGGTTTTTAAAGAGATTGGACAGCCATTTGTACAGAATAGCATAGGATCTCTGCTGAGAGTGAGTCAAAGTAGAATATTTCCAAGTGTCCTTCCAACTCTGTTACTCTGTATTGTATAAACTAAATAATTTTATTTTTGTGTCTGTGTGTGCTCTTTTCCACAGCATTCATGAAGGATTTCTGTCCAACTCATCCAGCAGTGATTTTTTAGAAGTACTTAAGAGATTAAGAGAGTTACAGTTATTTCTCTGCAGTCTAGATGAAAACGTAGAGGAAATGCTGTGTGAGGGGCTCCAACATTCAGAGTGTAAAATAGAAAAACTAAGGTGAGTGATCACTGTTTTTTTGTTAATTTGATGTACTTTCTCTTGATTGTTTGTGCTCTAGAAATATATCCAGGGAGAGACATCATTTGCCATATATACCCATATTCTGCAATTCATATCAGAATACAGTCCATACTTGTTTTTGAAGGAATAATCATAATATTTTGCCCTTTTTGCTACAGGCTTGAGGGACGGTTCCTGAAAGAATCCTTCTGTGAGTCTTTTGCCGAAATACTAAGGAAAAAAACGAGATTGAGAGAGTTGGATTTATTATCCAATGACACAAATAAGAAAGCAGTGAAAATGTTATGTGAGGGGCTCAAACATCCAAACTGTAATGTAGAAAAACTAGGGTGAGTGATCAGTTTGATATACGTTACTTTCTCTTGAGTATTTGTCTTCCAGAAATATAGACAGGGAGTGAAATCATTTGCCATATATAACCACATTCTCTTCAAATTCTACAAAACACAATCCATGCTTGCTTTTCAAGAAATAATTGTAGTATTTTGCACTTTTCCTTACAGACTTGGTGGAAAGTTTCTGACTAAATTTTTCAGCAGTCATCTTTCAGATGTATTCAGGAAACATCAAACACTGAAAGAGTTACAGTTGTTTCCCATCAACAATATTGATACAGTAGTGGAAATGCTTTGTGAAGGGCTCAAACATTCAGACTGTAAATTAGAAGTACTACGGTGAGTAAGCAGTGTTTTTTAATTTGATTTATGTTATTTCTCTTAAACGATTCTATTCTGGAAATATATCCACAGGGAAGCAATTTTAATACATTATATAATCATATTTTCTATGGCTGCTTCAAGACTAGAGTTCATGTTTCTTTTCAAAGAAGTTATTCTAATTCAGGCTTTGTGTAGTGTCTGTCAAAGAGCCACTATAGGGATCTTGCTGAAGTATTTGGGAAAAACAGTCACTGAGAGAGTTAGGGTTGTTTGTCCATGTTAAAGATGAGAATGGGCGGGGAGGGTCAATGGAGGAGGAAAGCTGGCTGTAAATGGCCTGAGGCAGGTGATTGTGGGTGAAGGAGGTGTGGCCAAGGGTCTGTGACTAAATATCCTAAACCCCAAGTATTATCAAGGGAACCAGTTGTGGGATTCAGTCCGTTCACACCGGTTCGGGAGAACTGTTAGTTAACTTTCTGAGCATTTTGGCGTACCGGCTGTTGGAAGAAATCTCCTTCCAACAGCCTTTTGTTTTTCCCACCTTAAAGGGTTAATCCTGTCAAGAAGGCAGGAAGGAGACATTCTGGTGTGCCTCTTTGTGTTGTTTCTAGCTGAATCCTGCTTATCTTTAAGTTTTTTCCAAAACTCCCTTTGACTTAAGACTTGTTACATTGTAACAGCAGTTAATGGTTCTTGGCAGTACGCCCAGATTTTCTGCAGTCTTAGCCTTAGCTTCTCTGGAGTTTTTTTCCTTTGCTGGTACTTATTAGGGGCTTGACTTTCTTAAAGGGGAAGGGTTATTTTAAGCATTTTACATTGCTTTAATAGTTCCTGGCACTGTCCTTTTGGGATGTATTTCCAAGAGGCAGGATGCAAGCTTGGCACTCTGTCTGATTTTTTTTACTGCCTTTCTGGGGGCATGTGATCTTTCCTTAAATCTGGATGGTTTCCTTAGGATATCTTAGGATATCTTGTGAGGTGAGTGAGGTCAGCTGGTATCTTTAAGTTGTGCAAGTGGATCTAAAGATTGCTTCCCCTGGGTGGGAAAGGGTGCTTTTGTCAGTTCACTGAGCACAGGAGTTTCTTGTCTATGGGGATTCTTCAGTCAACCAGGTCATGATTATCCCAAAGGTGCTTTCTTCAAGAGGCAACTGGACTTTCTTAGTTTCCAGAAAGTCCAGTTGCCTCTTGAAAAAGCACCTTTGGGACAGGAGTCTCTTGCATTGCTTGGGGTGGCTTGGGAGGGCAAAGACTTGAACCTGGGCCCCCTATATACTTTGTTAATTTGTCTTTTTAGCTTGGCATTTTGTAGCCCAAGTATGCCCTCTCATTTTCGGGAGAGCTTAAATGACTTCTCTACTAAATGGTTTCACTTTATGAGCAAAAGTTGGCTGCTGATAGTTATCATTGCATTTTAACTATTTTAATTCCTCAAGGTGCTCTGGCACCCTGCCTGATTTGTGACTCTTGGTTGCAGATATTGTTGATGAAAAGGAAGGTATTCAGACAGAATGGTTTAGGTTTCCATGATGGCTGTGACTGTCATTGATCTTCAGTGTGCATTTCCCCCATTTCTAATCTAATGATTGGTATTTAGGGCAGCTTTTTGCAAGTAAACAAACTTTTTATATTTTTGTATAGGTAATCCTTGACTGACAACAGTTCATTTAGTGATCATTCAAAGTTACAATGGCACTGAAAAAAGTGACTTATGACAGTTTTTCACACTTATGACCATTGCAGCATCACCCCGGTCACGTGATCAAAATTCAGATGGTTGACAACTGTCTCACATTTATTATGGTTGTACTCTCCCAGGGTCATGTGATCCCTTTTTGCAACCTTCTGACAAGCAAAGTCAGTGGGGAGGCCAGATTCACTTAACTTAAAAAGTGCGGTGATTCACTTAACAAATGTTGCAAGAAAAGTTGTGAAATGGGGCAAAATTCACTTAATAAATTTCTCACTCAGCAACATAAATTTTGGGCTCAATTGTGGTTGTAGGTCGAGGAGAAGCTGGGCCAGGCAAGGTCAGGACAGGACAGGCGTGACAAGGAGTGGCTGGGAGGGGAGGGGTGAGGCAAGGCCGTGTGAGGTGAGGCGCCTCTCAATGTGAGTGACGTCAAGTTGGCCATGCCCACCCAGCCACACCCTCTCAGTCAGTCATTAGGGCAGAGAAGTGGTTGTTAAATTATTTGAATCCCACCACTGAGCATAACATATACTTTCTATGCTTCTGAAAGCACACAATTATCTCTTGACCATTCCTTGTTCTTTTAATTCAAGGAAGGTTTTCCTCATAAACTGGAGGTGATCTGACAGATTTTCTTCACACTTTAACCTTACTCTATAAAGTGTTCTTGTGAGAGTTACTTTGCTGCTTTCAGTCTCTCTTACATAAATTCTTTGTAAGGTAAGCCAGCATTCTCTAGCCGATGTTGGTCCATGTATATGTATTGCCTTTCTGCCAAGCACAAAATTATGTTAGCTAGTGCTTTTTCATTTTGCCTTTGCCTCTCCTCATTGAGATTTGATAGAGGATTGCTTACCACTGTCCACAAATCTACCTCGGCAGGAACATCTCCAGGTTTAGTCTCCATGAGAGATAATTTGTCTCATTAAGACAAGCTGTTTCTATGACAAATAGCATGATGCTGTCTTTACAGGCCAATTGTCCTCAGCATTCTTCAGGATCACGAAGAAACTGTTACCTCAGAGAAACTTACACTGGTGCTTCAGGGCACTTCTGGGCCCATAACCTGTCAGGGAATTGTGCAGCAGGTATCTAAATGAAGTCAGTGATGCTGACACAAACTTGTGGTTTTATATAAATAAATATATTTTACATCTATTTTTCAGCAAACAAGATAGTCAGGCAAACAGGAGCACCATGAGGTAAATCACAGAACACACAGGTGGGAAAACAGGGAAATTCCCCCTTTACACCCACAGCAACCAATCACAGCTCAGATTGCCTCACACAGGAGTCAGCTCTCTTCCACCAATCAGCTATAACTGTGTGTTCTGGTTCCTGGTACAACCCCTATTTTTCCAGCTATTAAATTTGAAAATCTTGACAAGCACTGTGTGAGGGGGCCAAAGATGGAGAATGATTTATGTAGGTGAACAGAATTTTCAGTTAGAGATGTACAATTATCTCTTGATAATTGATGTCTTTTGTAAACATATCCGGGGAGACCACAAATAATGAAATTCCATCCAGGTTCTTCAAGACATATGTTCATAGTTGATTTCAAAGATCTATTTGTAATTATCCTGACCTTTCTATGTAGGATTAATGGAGAGTACTTAGAAGTACTCTGTGGGCACTCTCTGCCCTTTGGGAGACAGATTGCAAGAATTGTCACGATAAACCAGAACCTACGTAAATTGTATTTGCATGGTGACTGCATTAGTGACTACGAGACGAAGCTGCTCTGTGAGGAACTAAAACACTCAAGGCATAAGTTAAAGGAGCTATGGTAAGCATCAGTTCTGTTTGATTTCTATATTGTTCATATTTCTTAGATTTTATTATGGAGACATTTTAATTTAAATCAAATGAAGTGAAATATTTTACTTCTGATATTTTGAACATATTTTCCTTGTTAATGAGAATTTATTCACTTATTCCATGTAAGTTTTTAAATTTGCTTGTTTAAGAGAAACTTGTTATTAACTTTTTTCTTGTTTTTATTGAGAAAGGCATTGATATCTTTAATCTATTTCTTGTAGAAACATAAGATATAATAATTGAACTGCTATGGTAATAATTAAAACCTTCAGATCCAGCAGCAAAATTATCACAATTGCATCTTTTGTCTCTTAGAATTGCTGGAAAATGTGATGGCATGATATATGATGGCCTGATTGCCATGTTTTGATTTTGCTTAGTTTTGGTTTTTACTAATGTAGCACAACTCTAGGCAGCTCATTACAAAAGATGGCTAGTCATAAACCAACAAACAAACATACAGTAAGTAATGAGACTGGCACGTGTTGCTCTTCATAAAATATTAAAATATACTCTGGGCTCATTGATGCATTGAGGGGAAGCTCCCTCTAACTGGATAACCTTCTCCAACACATTGACTTGTTAGCAGGACTGTTTGGGGAGTAGTGCTGTAGTGCTCTTATAGAAGACTATTAGACTCATGTTCAAAAGTGGCACAATAAGAGCTAACATATAGGATGGAAGGATTGCAAGCTAGTATGTAGAGCAAGAAAACTTCTGGAGAGAAGATTTCAGTCCTCCAACCTTGTATCCCACTGGGTCAGTTCTGCTATTACAGTGATCAAGATCTTCAAACACTCTAACCCTGATCTTTTGAATCTTTCGTGATTGAGCTTTGTTGGGTTTGTTGAAATTAGTTTTCTACAGTCCAAAGAATAGATCTGATTAAGTTTATTTTTCACAAATCTTCTTTTCAAGATAGACATATACAGTGCATTTGAAAAGTATCCAGTCCCTCTTCACTTTTGTCCATTTTGTCATGTTGCAGTCTGATTTCAGTTTCTTTTCTCATTAAGCTATTCTCACTGCCCATAACAAGAAACTGAAAACAGATTTTTAGAAATGTGTGTAAATTAACTGAAATATCGCATTGGCATAAGTATTCAGACCCTTTACAACAACGCTTGAAATTTAGCTCAGGTGCCTCCCTTTTCTTTTGATTGTTGCTGACATATTTTTACATCTTGATTGGAGTCCACCTGTGGTTAACTAAAATGAGTGGACATGATTTGGAAAGGCACGCACCCAGTGGTGGGATTCAAATAATTTAACAACTGGTTCGCTGCCCTAATGACCAGCTGGGTAGATGTGGCTCGGTGGTATTGTGACCGTGAGGGTGTGGCCAACTCAATGTCACTCACATCGATGGGCACTTCGCCTTAGCTGTTACAATGTAATAAGGGTTAACTAGAGAGGCAGTTTAGATTAGGCTAGAAACAACACCAGAATGTTTCCTTCCTGCCTTCCTTAAAGAATTAGCCCTGTAAAGTGCAAAAAAACAAAATAAGATTTCTTCCAACAACCGGTTCTCTGAACTGCTTAGAAAGTTAACAACCAGTTATTCCGAATAGGTACAAACTGGCTGAATCCCACCACTGCACACACCTCTCTATAGAAGGCCTCACAGCTGATAATGCATACAGTAGCAGAGCAAAAGCCATGAGGTCAAAAGAACTGCCTGCAGAGCACAGCCCTCCACCAATCTGGGTTTTATGGTAGAGCGGCTAAACGGAAGCCTCTCCTCAGTGCAAAACACATGAAGCCTGCCTGGAATTTGCAAAAAAACACCCGAAGGATTCTCAGACTGAGGAACAAGATTCTCTAGTCTGATGAAACCAAAATTGAATTGTTTGGCTTCAATTCTAAATGTTATGTCTGGAGGAAACCAGGCACAGCTCATCACCTGCTCAATACCATCCCACCAGTGAAGCATGATGGTGGCAGCATCATGCTGTGGATATGCTTTTTAGCAGCAGGGACTGAAAGACTTCTCCGGATTGAGGGAAAGCTGAATGGAGCAAAGTACAAGGATATCCTCAATGAAAACCTGTTCTGCTCAGGACCTCAGATTGGGCTGAAGATTCACTTTCCAACATAACAATGATCCTAAGCAGACAGCCAAGAAAACACAGGAGTGGCTTAGGGGCAACTCTGTTCATGTCCTAGAGTGGCTCAGCCAGAAACCTGACTGGAACCCCATTGAATATCTCTGGAGGGACCTGAAAATGGCTGTCCACTGACAGTCGCCATCCAACTTGACTGAGTTTGAGAGGATTTGCAAGGAGGAATTGCAGCAAATCCCCCAATCCAGGTGTGCAAAGCTTGTTGCGTCATACCCAAAAAGACTCAAGGATGTAATTGCTGCCAAAGATGCTTCAACAAAGTACTGACTAAGATACTAATGTGATATTTCAGTTTTTTTCTTATAAATAAATTTATAGACATTTCTAAAATTCTGTTTTCACTTTGTCATTATGAGTGTTGATTCATGAGAAAAAGATGAATTTCAACAACGGTAGAATCAAGCTGCAGCATAACAAAATTGACAAAAGTGAAGAGGGTCTGAATGCTTTCTGAATGCATTGTATATACTGCAGGTAGCATATTGGATGAGCACAACACCATTCTGCTATTTAAAAAATGGCTGCCTTAAAAATAGCAGAGAAATGTGCTGATGATTGCATGAGGTCCAAATAGTTTACAAAGTGCGAGGAATTTAGAACAGAAGCGGGGGGGGGATGCCATCCTTGCCACCCCTCACCATCCATTCCACATGCAAATAACCCACCCTACCATCCAATTGAAAATGTTATGAAGGAAACACAATGTTGCAAAAGACCACAACACTTTAGCTTCTTAGCCTATGTTGTAAGTATTTACCAGTTTCTTAATCATATAATCAGATTAATCAGATAACAGATTCCTTCCTTAACATCAAACCCTTCAGTCAACACCTAGTGAATTATCACACCTTTCAGGGGAAATCACATTTCTTCCCAACAGACTTCAAATATACATTCCAGCTTATATTACTGTCCTAAACCTTTTCACTTCTGGACACCTGTATGATACGCTACTCTATTGAATAAATCATCCTTCATTTCAAAAAGTTGCCACGCTTATTTGTGACCTATCTCAGACTTGAACCCAGAACTTCCTCCTAACAAAATCATGCAGAGCAACTTGCCTTAAGTATGTGCAGGATTGGAGCTAGACCGGGGTCAAACTTGCGGCCCTCGGGCCAGATGCATCATGTGAATGGGAAAAAGTCATGAAACGTCACATGACAGCAACATGACGTGGTGAGTTTGATGCTCGTGATCTAGATTTAATCATATTTAGATAAGATCACTAAATGGATAAAGTGAGTTAAGAAATTTGTAAAAGTGTGATAACTGTCTTTAGAAGAGCATTTGGAGGCTGTGCCCGGGAGGACTTTCTATCAGGTTCACCTGATCCGCCAGTTGCGTCCCTTTCTGGATCGGGACTCCTTACGCACGGTCACTCATGCCCTCGTCACCTCCCGCCTGGACTACTGTAATGCTCTCTACATGGGGCTCCCCTTGAGGAGCACCCGGAGGCTCCAACTGGTCCAAAATGAGGCCGCGCGGGTGGTTACGGGAGCGAAGTGGCATTCCCATGTAACATGTCTCCTGTGCGAGCTGCACTGGCTCCTGGCGGTCTTCCGGGTGCGCTTCAAGGTTTTGGTTACCACCTTTAGAGTGCTCCATGGCTTAGGACCTGGGTACTTACAAGACCGCCTTCTGCCACCAGTAGCCTCTCACCGGCCAGTACGCTCCCATAGAGAGGGGCTCCTCAGGGTGCTGTCAGTCAAACAGTGTCGACTGGCGTCCCCCAGGGGGAGAGCCTTCTCTGTCGGGGCACCTGCCATTTGGAACGAGCTCCCCCCGGAGATACGGAGGATCCCGGACTTACGCACTTTCTGCTATGCCCTCAAGACCTTCTTATTTCAACAGGCTGGCCTGGCCTAACTTCCCTTTTAAATTGTTTAATTTTAAATTTGTTTTAAAACAATAGGGGTGTTTTAATTTGTATGGGCCAAATTATTTAATGTATTTTTACATGGTTTTTTAAAGTTTGTATTATGTGTGTTTTATTTTTGGCTGTTCACCGCCCTGAGTCCTTCGGGAGTAGGGCGGTATAAAAATCCAAAACAATAAACAATTAAATCCATTTGGTACAGAGTCATCTTTACCAAATATCACAGATAATATCATCAGTGCTTGGCATATTCTGTTCATGCTCCTGTCCAAACATCTTTGGTTGTAGAATTGGGTCTTCTAATAGCCAGACTTGGACTTTGCTTCAGACTCTTACAAACCCCAAATATTGAACAGATTGGGGAAGCCTGGAAGCAATTTTAATTAAGCCAAGACAAAGTAAGGATCTCTCATTCATTCTCTTTGAAAGAAAAACATGTTTGATGTAGCTCTGCCTGATCCAGAACAAGTCAATCTCAATTTTTTGAATTGGAGAGTAAGGGTAAGAAATAACTGTAAGTCTAAAATATAAAATTCAATTCAGGTAAATAGATAACATTGCAAATATATATATAAAAACCCTTCCAGCACCACATAATGTATATAAAATGCCTATATCAAAACAGTAACGTTACTGGGTCACTATTCCATTTTTATTTTTAAATTTGATGACATCACTTTTAAACTCCTATTTTCTTTCATACTTTTTTACCTTCTTGGTTTGTCCTAAAAGTTTATTATAGAGCCTTAAACCAAAGTATTCATTGAAGTCTTCTAGTAGTCAACTTTTTCTCTTGAATCAAAGTGAGCCCTTGAATAAATCCATCACTGGCTGCTCCATGCAGTATGGCCCTTTCAACTTATCCATTGTTGGCCACCCAGTACCATCATGGACAGAAGATTAAATCATGGAAATATTTTCTTGGCTATTGCTTGGAAGGATCAACTGAGAACCAGGTTGGATAAATTAGGGAGGGGGAGGGGCAATATTCACATTGAGAGATGTAATAAAAATATGAGAAAATTATGATTTTCGCCTGATTTCTGGGGAAATCATGCAGAGCACTTGAGTAATATGGGGACACCAAGGACGAAAGAAGAAATAATTCTTTTCCTAAAATGGATTTTATAGGGATAGCAAATTCTTTATTGACAATTAAAATATAGGGTTTTTTTGAACCAGATAAGACTTAGAATGAGTGTGACCAAATAAACCTTGGAATTATTTTGGCTACATCAGATTATATTTGGAGGTTTGGGTCTGCCTTCAAAGATGGTCAGATGGGTCCCTGTTCAGTCTGACAGAGATATTACTGTGGATTTATCTTTTGTTGGGGGATTAAAATAAGATTTTCTTTTTCATTATAGGTCGAATGGAAAATATATTATACAGAATGGAAAATGGGTGAACATGGACCATAGGACTAGAGCCCCCCGTGCAAATGTTTTTTCTTCATGCTTGCCTATTTCTTTTGTGGCTCGCCGGCGGCCAGTGGAGCTGGCAGAAGAGTTGGACAGTGAGGAGCTTGGGGAGGAATTTTGGCCAGTCCTGGGGGGCTGGTGAAACCTCGGACGAGAGCTCTGTGTTAGAGGCAGAGTGAGAGCGAGACAGCAGCAAGGCAGAGGAACAGTTGGAGCGCATGCACAGAGCTACCAGAAGACAAGGACAACTAAGAAAGCAGAGTCTACTCAGGAGAAGAGCCACACTTTGGAAGTGATTGGTCCCTCCCATAGGAAACAAAAAAGGAGCAAACAGGGAGTGGGCTTTTGCAGGAAACAATTCGTTGGTTCAGTGGTTTCAAGAGTGGAAAGTTCTGTTAATGACTCTAAGAGACTCTGTGCCAAGTTTTGCTTTGCCCTGCGTTTGGACATTAGTTATCTGGCAGCTTCCCAAGCGAGATAAAGTGTGTTGATAAATATTCCTCTGAAAGACTGTTTGCCAAGCCGTGCTGACTGTGAATGAAAGGAATTCAGTCGTGTAAATAAAGGATTTTGGACTCTGCTTCTTGCTTTCTAAGACAGCCTAGGTCAGATCTATTTTTATTTCTATTAAGAATATGGTCAGGAAGAGTTGGAACTTAATATATTTTAAGTGAAATTCTAAATAACTTTCTTTCAGCAACTATAATCTGAACTGTGGACTTTTCTCCCTTTGCAACTGAAAAATGGTACAAGAATGTAAGCATATAAACTTTTTCATGGAAATGTGGACAATACATCATTTTGTTTACATTGTGAGATCTCCTCCTTTGAAATCTGAAAAAGGGAAGGAAATCTTGCTTGCTTGCTTGCTTGATTATACGCCATTAATAACTATTAATGACCACATAGATTGAAACTATTTTGTTTTCAACCAAAGAGAATATTTATAGCTCAGGGTTGAACTGTGGTGTCCTTGTGATCTCTGTGGTTGATTGTTTACTTCCAGATGTTTCGACTTCTAGCACTGAAGATGCTACCTAGTTAGGTAATGAAATGTCTGCAAAAAAAAGAAGAAGAAAAGAAACAAGTTCAAGGACCAATAAAGTAACAAGTTCTATTTTAAGAGAATATAGAAAGAGAAGTATGATGCAGCTTTGAAAGTTAGTGTTATCATTATTGTGCTTATGTAATAATCTCTTTCAATCTCATTCTCTTTTGTTTTTGCTCTCTACAAACCCATCCATCCATCAGGATTTGTAGCAGTTGTATTTCTTACTTTTGTGGTGTACTGCAACATTATTTTCTTTTATTTCCATTTCTATGGTTTTACTCTCAGAGGATTTCTGAAATTCCAGTTAAAAAGCTGGTGTCAATACAGGTCTGACATAAATAAAACATTTAGAAGGACATTTATGCCATGGTTGTTGATACAAGATTTCAAAATAGAGAAAGCCAAATGAGCAAAGGGTCAAATAATGGAGTGAAGTTTAGGAGTAAGAATTCAATGTTGGTAAGCAGTCTTCTGTCAGTGGAAATCCAAAGGGAAAACTAGTGAAATTTGGGAGGAAACATTAATAGCTAAGCAGCCATTCAGATAACGTGACAGTATACTTATGTCAGAAAGGGCTGAGCTGCATGGCCAGATATCCTAGTCAGGTGTTAGAAGCCCAACCAGAAAAGAGGATGAGATAGCTACATCAATAGCACTTAGATTTATGTAATGTTCCATAGTGCTTTATAGCAGTCTGAGCAATTTACAAATGTCAATGTCACTGCGTTTTTGTATTTACCAGATGAGCTCATATTTTTGGACTCTAAGACTTTCCGTAGCTTGCCAAGTCCTTATCTCTGATTCACTACGCATGTCCGCATTCCTTCACTTTCTTTCTACTAACTTTCTTTGTTCTCCTGCCAAGAGGTCCAGCTGCAGAGAGGTGGCCAGCAGGAATGTTGCCAAAATGTAATTATTTTAGAAAGTGAGATGTTTTATTTTCTTTATAACAAATAAATGAGTTTTTCTTAGAAAAAAATATCTTCGGGGTTTATTTTCTTGCAAAAGTATGCTTCAAGGGAAAAGTCTTGATCCACGTCTCTAAATCAAGGTGCGATTACCCAAAAGAAGAATGGGATTAATTAGCACCCTGACAGTCAACGTATTGCTCTAAACAATCTGTGTCCTTATTTTACCAACCATAGAAGGATGGATGCCTGAATCAACCTTGAGCCAGGCTGGATTGAACTCCTGTCTGAGGGCTGAATTAGCCTGTATTACTGCATTCTAACTACTGCGCCACCAGGGGTCCTAGTATGAGATTATCCTACACCTTCCTGCTTCAAGATGAAAAAAGTCCCTTCTGGCTTCTTCCAGCTCTAGAAGTGCTTCCCAGTTTGCTTCTTCAGGTACCCAGTGAGTCTAGTGGCAGGGATGGTCCCTCTTCCAGGTTAATGATTGCTGCGTGGCCATTTTGGGCCTGGACCATTTAACCTTTAATTTACTTTCACTTTTTCATTCCTCCCCCCTCCGCACTTATTTCCCCCACAAGTTCCCCGATGAAGTAGTGGAACTGCTACAGTCCTTTCTCTGAACACTTGAGAGTTGTTGTTTTCTTCCTCACATGGGAGGTATGATGGATTCTGGCTTTTGATACTTAGACTCTTCTTTTTTGTTCCCTCTTCTTTCAGTGGTTAGGTCTTCTTTCAATTTTCCCCATAGAAGAAAATAAATAAAAAGAAAAAAATGGGCCTGTTAGACAGGCAAAGGCAACCCACAGGAAGGGCTATGACCTCATAGACGATCCTCACTCTGTCAAGGATCTTGGAGTACTCATCTCAAATGATCTAAGTGCCAGAGCTCACTGCAACAACATTGCCAAAAAGGCATTAAGAGTTGTTAACCTAATCTTGTGAAACTTCTTCTCTGGTAATATTGTACTGCAAACTAGGGCATACGAAACCTTTGCTAGACCAATTCTCGAATACAGCTCATCTGCCTAGAACCCTTACTATATATCCAGGGGTGGGTTCTAACATTTTTTACTTAACAGTTCTGTGGGTTTATTTTGTGGGTGTGGTTTGATGGTCATGTGACAATTCTTTAGGATTTAGCAGAGGTACTGGTCTACCAGGCTTTTAGCTGCTTGCAGAACTGTACCGGTCCACCCATTTGTTCTTGGAGCGTTCCGGTCTACTCATTTGTTTTTGGAGCGTCCTAGTCTACCTATTTGTTTCTGGAGGCACAGGTCTACCCATTTGTTTTTCGAGCGCACTGGTCTACCACCACACTGCCTTTTAACACTGATCAGCTGTAGGGCTATCAGGTCTTCAGCTGCAGGTCTGGCTCAGTAAGAAAGGAAAACGCTACGAACAGGTCTCGTGTGTTGGAAACGCTTTTACTTCAATCGAGTCTCAGCAACAGCAGTAGCAAACCTGACAATTGATGCGGCAATACACAAAGTCGGCATTGGGAGCGGCTGCCTTCCAACGCCGTTTAAATACATGCACCTCCAATTACAGCTGATTGCATGCCCTTCTGGGTCGCCGTGGCTTCTGCCCATGCGCGCATTATCAATTTCATCATCCTAGCAGAACGGAAGGGCGGCACAACTAAACCCTGCAACCCGACCGCAGCGTGACCGACCACCTATCGTTATGTTAAACACCCCCACCACCAATGTGAACAGCATACCCAAACCAACCCCTCCCCCATGCCGCTGGAGTCAGGTATGATATATACATCAGGATCCAAAGTTGCTACAGGATCCACGGTCGTTACTAGAGCTCCGGGTGTTGAGGGGATCTCGATAGGCGGCTCCCCCTACCAGGGATTCTCCTGGAAGACAGAAACATATATGTTACTACCACATTATGGTTCTATACATACACCCCAAGGCCCAGGTTTTTGTGGGTATTTCTTATAGAATCGTTTAAGCAATTGGTTGGCTTTTAGGTTTGTAGCAGTAACCCAGGAAGATTCTTCAAATGGGTACCCTTTCCACCTGACCAAATACCTCAGTTTTCCCCTACTGATTCTGGAGTCTAACACTTCCTCTATCTCATAGTGGTCCCCGTCCACCGGCCCTGGTTTATCCAGTTGTTCCCGAACCACCTCTACTGGTTTTAACAAGCTACTATGAAACACAGGGTGAACCTTACCCAGTAATGGTGGTAATTTCAGTTCCACCGTAACCGGATTAATCACTTTCACAATAGAAAAGGGTCCAAGGTATTTGGGGCTCAATTTACGACTAGGTGTTCGTAACTTCAGGTATTTTGTAGACAAATAGACTTGGTCTCCAACCATGAACGGTTTGTGGTCTGCTCTTTTCTTGTTTGCTTGGAACTTATATGTTCTGGTCACTTTATCTAACGCCTCTTTTATTTGGGGCCATGTTCTCCTGATGCATGTAGCCCAAGCGTCAGGGGACATATTTTCTTGGTTATGGGATTCTAATTCAGGGATTGCGATAAATTCTTTACCTGAAACGACTTGAAAAGGTGTGACTCCTGTACTCCCGTGGACAGCGTTATTATACGCTATTTCTGCAAAAGGGAGTAATTCTGCCCAATCTGATTGCTGATATGTTACATAGCAACGTAAGTATCTTTCTATCATAGCATTTGTTCTTTCTGCTGCTCCATTGGTACTAGGATGGAAGCCCGAACTTAATCCCTGTGACGACCCTATCATCTTAACGAAATTGCGCCAGAACTTTGAAGTAAACTGAACACCTCTGTCTGAGATGATACATCGAGGTGCCCCATGTAATCGATATATGTGCCATATGAACATTTTCGATAATTTTCGGGCAGATGGTAAACCATGACACGGGATGAAATGGGCTTGCTTGGAAAAAAGATCAATTACAGTCCATATTACGGTGTTACTGTTGCTCTCCGGGAGGTCTACGATAAAGTCCATGGCGATCTCCCAGGGTCTGCTCGGTTCCGCCACAGATTGTAAAAGGCTGAGGGGTTTCCCTGGCCAGGGTTTAGCCATTGCACACACCTTGCAGCTTATTACATAATCCTCTATCTCTTTCCTCATGCGCGGCCACCAAAATTGGCGTCTTACTAGGTGTAATGTTTTTAGGAAGCTGAAATGGCCCGCTACCTTGGTATCATGACACCTATGAAGCACAGAATGTCGCAGAGAGGTAGGGACATGCAATTTGGTGCCCACCCAGGCGAGTCCATCCTGGTGAGTTACATCAGTCACATGTTCCTTGACCCAGGGGTCTTCAGCCAATGCACGACGTAAATCACTATCCCACGATGATGACTCAGTGTGCGACATCAGAGTTACTTGCTGGTTTTCGGGGATCATTGCTTGCACAACGTCCTCCCTCTTGCTATCAAATTGCAGTAGTCGTGATAGTGCATCTGCCAGGAAATTCTTTCCTCCTGGAACGTAAATTGAACCTCTGGAAATATTGCGCCCAATGGACTTGTTTAGGCGACAATTGTCTGGGATTCTGGAGTGCTTCCAAGTTTTTGTGGTCTGTCCATACTTTGAACTTAGTACCACTTCCCTCTAACAAGTGCCGCCAGGTAAGCAAAGCCCACCGCACTGCGAAGGCTTCCTTCTCCCAAATAGCCCAACGTGTTTCCATGATGGATAATTTGTGGGACGTATATGCGCACAGTTGTAACTCCCCCCCCCTGCGAGTCTCTGCAACAACACAGCAGCGACAGCGACATCGCTCGCGTCTGCTTGTACAACAAATGGTAACGCTGGATCGGGATGCTGTAGTATTGGTGCTTCAGAAAACAGGGTTTTCAATTGT